CGCGCCGGGCGCCCAGCTTTGTTTCACTTTCGCTGTCAGCGGTCGCCGCCGCGCTCCCCGCCGCCGGCGGGACCCGGGTAGAACGGGCCTCTGCGTGGCGGGGATCGCCACCCCCTCCCAACAGTGGGGGGCGCCTGGGGCCTCCGCCCGGGTGGGACGCGGGGTGCACCAAGCCCTAAAGGGGTTGATACCCCAGGGGGTGGCTGCCCGGGTGCCCGGGGGCGCACTCGCACGCCTGGGGAGCAATCGGCTCTGCCCCTTACAAGCTGTGCGGTCACCCCCGTCCCCCGAAGTGTCAGTTTTGTATCTGCAAAAAAACGAGATGATAATAGTACCTGCCTCGGTGGGTGCTTGGGGGCTTCCTAAACTTGCCTATTCCTAAAAATGGGGCCTGGGGTCCCTAATAGGTAATATATATATATATATATATATATATATATATATATATATATATGAATATGAGATTGATTCTAGAGGTGGAGTGGGGCCAAGTTTGCTGATCCCTGGTGACACGTATGATAGGACAAGTTTAGGGTACGCCGATGGGTGAGGTACACACTTGCCTCTGCCCTTGTTAGCAGCTGTCATCAGGAGACCCTGTGGAAGGCGGAAAATACTGGGCGTATGGCAGAGCCTGCCCAAACGATCTTGCCATCTCAGTGGGAATGGTGTGTGCTTGTTATGCAGAGGCAAACCTCCAGACACCCCTCGCTCTCCCTTCCAGCCACCTTACCCCCCTACACCTCGCCTATAGAGCAATTTGGTGTGGGTTTGGGATTTTTTTTTCTGGCAGTCCCCTCTCTTGAGTATACCCCCTAGGCTCACAGGCTGTTTTCTTAGGGAAAATTCTCAGAAGAGGTCAAGGCCTAGGGCTCAGAACCTCTTTGTATTCTTCCAGGGACGTTAAAAGCCTCACCCTGGTTTGGAGGATTCTGATTGTTGATGGTTGTTTCCCTGGCTCCTCTGATGGAGCCAGGATTGTGGGTGGGTAGGTTGAAATCAGGGTAGTCCCTGGGGTGGTGTAACTTTTTAATTTGGGAAATGACATTTCTTTGTTTGCTGGAGTCAGGCATTCAGTAAAAGGTGTAGAGACAGCTCTCTCTGCCTTCCCATCTAGATAAGGGCTTTCTTTTCAGTGACTGTGTTACTCATAGAACTCTTTATAAATGGCCCCTACTGTTTGTCTGAATCTTATGTGAATCTTTTTATAGCTTCCGCTGTCATTTTCATTGACTTATAGTTAAATCTGAAAGCGATCTGTAGCTAACCTCCCTTTTTTGCAGGAATCCGTTTCCAGTTCTGGGTTTTTCCTAATGATTGACGACTGTGTTTTGGGGTGTGGGCAGAGCTGTTGAGAGCTGCCAAGCTGTTAAAAAAAAAAAAAAAGTCTGAGAGTTTTACATTCTTTTGAAACTGAATAAAGCCTATTGTAATGGGATTACAATGGACAACAGTAGATATCTTCAGAGGGTGGTTAGAATTCATATATTCATTTAACAAATATTTATTGAGTGTCTGCTATGTGCCAGGCACTCTGCACTCTCTAGACCAGCACTGGCCAATAGAAATATAATGTGACCCACATAAGTAACTTAAAATGTTCTAGTAGTTGCATTAAAAAAATGAAACTGGAGAAATTAATTTTAAAACTATATCTTTGTCGGTTCAACATATCCAAAATATTATTTCAACATTTAATCATGATTAATGATTGATATATTTTAGATTTTTTTTTTTTTGGATTACGTCCTCAAGATATGGCATGTGTTATATACATAGCAGCCCATCTTAATTTGGACTCGCCCTGTGTCAAATGGTCAGTAGCCACGTGTGGCTACTAGTTATTCTGTTGGACAGCATAGCCCAGTAGCAGCGAACAGATAGGCAAGTTTGGGGCGGGGATGGGGAAGAGAGACAATCCATAAAAACAACAAGTAAGCAATCAAGGAAAGATGGATGAGTGATGGTTATAAAGACAATTAAATAGAATGAAAGGAAAGTGACTGGGCCACTGTAGATAGTGAGGCCAAGGAAGGGTTCTGAGAAGGTGGCATCAGCACCCAGCTCTAAATGGTAAGACGCAGCAGCCCGGCAAAGATCTAGGGCCAGGCCAGCCAGGCACAGTTTTTCAGGCTCACGGAACATCGAATGTCAAGACCCTGAGGCCAGACACATTACCTTGCTTCCTGCCAGCTAGAGGCCTAGCTGCCACGTCTGTGTTAAGTTGAATCTCCTTTCACAGAAGAGAGCCATCATAAATATCATTCCATGCAGTATGTGTGTCCATATACATCCCGATGTTGAATTAGAAGACCCTGATCTTTTTCACCAAGAAGGGCTGCAGCAGGTACAATCCCAGAGGAAGCCAGATCCTCTCTGCTCTTTTTTTAAGCTCTTGCACTAATTACGGCTTTCTTTTCCAGGAGCCAGGTTTAGTTGGGGCCCAGACCTCCCCTTCAGAATTTCCTTAGTTCTAGAAACCAAGAGACAGAGTCACTGGGTTCTTTTCTTCTTTTAGCTCTTGGATGCCTGAGCCTGAAATAGCAAGAGATTAAATCCCCAAATCACAGGAATAGCGTGTGAAATCTGGGGATGGCTCATGGTGAAGAAGAGCCTTTCATGGGAAATGTCTGATAGAGGCGTCATAATAGCTTAAGGGGCTTCATTTAATTTCTCATTTAAGGGGGATACCATGTATATTTATTCAACAGATATTTACTGACTGCCTGCTCTCTGCCAGGAACTCTGCTAGGTCCTGGGGATCAACATACAAGGTCCCTGCTCCCGTGGAGTTGATGTCTTTGTCGGGGAAGACATAATAATCATATTAGTGATTGTGCTGTAAAGAAAATAAAGTGAGGCGTTATGAAGATTGTCTTGGGGTCAGAGAAGGGCTCTCTCTAAGGAGCTGTCATTTGAGCTGAGACCTGAATGAAGAGAAGGTGCCAGCCATGGAGGGACATTCCAGTGCAGGAGAACAGCTGGCGCAAAGGCCCTGAGGTTGGAACTAATTGAACATAGTCAAGAGGTGAGACCAGGCTAGTGTGCTAGAGCCAGGAACAGGGAGAGGAGAGACAGAAGCCCAGGTGAGAGACAAAAGCAGGGGCCAGCTTCTGCAGGACTTTGAGGGCAGGGTGAGGAGTTTTTGGATTTTATTCTGAAAGTGATTGAAACAGATTACTTACTTTGGGAGGTGAGGAGAATGGATGGTAGGGGTCAGAGCAGGAGCTAGGAGAGCAGTTGGAAGGCTGTTTAGTGAGAGATGATGTTGTGTAGCTTAGACTAGTAGCCATGGAGATGAAAGGAAGGTAGGTTTGCCAAGTCCTTTGGAAACAACTTTGATAGACGTTGCTCATGGATTTGGATCGGGAGATTAAGAAAAGAGAGAAATCAAGGATGACTGCTTTTTATATTGTGTAGAAACCTCCATGGTGTCTAAAGGGTGGATAGTGTGCATGTCGTGGAGGAAGGGAGCCAAGTGTAACTATTGTCAGGAAGGGAAACAGAGATTTTCATCCGGGTCAACTGATGAAAATGCATCTCTGGATCAGCCAGTGTCATTAATATTTGACTTCATCCGGTTTCTCAGCCTCAGCACTACTAACATTTGGGGCCAGATAATTCTTCATGGGGGGCTGTCCTGTGCACTGTAGGATGTTTGGCGGCCTCCATGGCCTCCACCCATTAGATACCAGTAGCACCACTCCCCAGTTATGACAACCAAAATGTCTCCAGACATTGCCACATGGCCCCAGGGGGCGAGCAAAATTACCTCCAGTTGAGAACCACTGGACTCCTTGAAGGAGATTCGGGCTGTGTCACCATGAGAAAGTAATCTAGAAGTAACGAGAATGAAGAAACTGTCGCGGGATTGCTGTGCAACATTAAGAGGCCTGCTTTGGCTTTAAAAAATAAAGTAAAATGCTCTTACCATGCAAATACTCACCTCCAAAAGAGTGGGCTTCTACAGACAAGGAATGGTTTGAATGAAAGGATCACATGTGCAAACACATAGACATTTCAAGGAGGAATTACTTGAGCCTATACAAACACCAGTGTAGACCTAATATTTTGAAACCTAGATTTACACATGAAGCCTCAGGGAGTGAATGTAAAGGAAATTGCCTTAAATTTTCTTTAAAGTAGCAAAGCCACCAAAGTCTTGATATGATGTCTTAAAATTTAAAGACAGAATTTTCAGCAACACACTTATTTTATAAAACAAGGTATACCCATGTATTTTTCTATAGTACATATACCAGAAAGTATATGTAGATTCATAAATATTATATACATATATATGCATCCATCTTTACCATCTGCTTTATTGAATCCAAGATACTATGGACCATATTGCCATTATATACACTGAAAAAATACTGTATTTAGCTGAAAAGTCATTGCTTATGATCACACCAACATGGGCCAGTGCAGCGACGTCCTCCACAACTAGACTGAAGAACAAAAGGACAGCAGCTTGTCTGTTCCCCTTTCCCGATTCCCCAACGCTGTTCCCCTCCCCCAATTCCTCAATAAGATCTCTAAAAAAAAAAAGAAAAAAAGAAAAGTCATTGCTTGTAGGATACACCCTGATTTCAACTAAATAAAAATGTGAGATGACATATACAGATGTGTCCTAAAATAAATGAAATGTGGGCTGTTTAAATTAGTATCTATCTGGTAACAGCACTAAAAAAGGTCAGAGCCTCGAAACTGTTAAAGTGGAACATACACATCAGGAAGTGACCTCACTGAGGCTGGAAGCCAGTTTTTATATTAGCATATGTTACAATCATAGTGGTCAGAAAATCAGTTCTGAAGACCTTTAACTTACAAGCTTCGTCAGCCATTGAGAACTTTCCACTGGAGTAGAGACTTGAATTAGGGAACCGCCATTCAGGCCGATGGTGAAGCACGGGTCCAGCACCTCCTCGTCGCGGGGTGCTGTGCTAGGCCCGATGACAGCGTCTGGGTGGTTTTGAGCAAGGGTGCTTAAATTCTGCTGGGGGGTGGGGCAGAGGGACGTTAGTTACTACACGAGAGAATGAAATAAGGCGAGTGGGACTTATTTCCCACTTTTTTTTTCAAAGATTTTTATTGGGGAATTGGGGGGATGGGAACAGTGCTGGGGAATTGGGGAACGGGGAACAGACAAGTTGCTGTCGTTTTGTTCTTCAGTCTAGTTGTGGAGGACGTTGCTTCACTGGCCCAAGTTGGCACCATCATTGCGCTCTTCCCGGGCGAGACAGATCAGTCGCTGGCTTCTGGACTGCCGCTCACTGCGACTGCTGGCCGCTCACGCTGGCTGCTGGCTACACACGGTAGCCCATGGCAACCCACTGCCACAGGGGCTGCAGCCTACGCCGTCGCCGGTGACTCACAGCAGCCCAGCTCCAGGTTGAGCTGTTGTTCAGCATCTTAGCTGTGGAGGACAGTGTCACTGGCCCTCATATGTGGGATCCGAACCGGGGTCCTCTGGCATCCCAAGCCAACCGGGGTCCTCTGGCGTCCCAAGCCAACCGGGGTCCTCTGGCGTCCCAAGCCAGTTCTTAACCATCGCACCACTCGGCCGGCCCTATTTCCCACTCTTAAACTGTGAGATCAGGGTATACGTCTCAGCTGCTCATTTAGGTAGGATTCTCATAATGAGGAAATGAGTCCAGGTGTGAATGCGAATGAGCTACCCGGGCATGACTCTGGTTAGGCCGGCGTGTGGTGTTTGGGGAGATGTACCTGTAAAGGACGCGGGAGCCGATGGTGGTGGGGTGGACGCCAAGGCTCAGCGGCCTTTATTGTGTAGGCAGGTGGAATGTATTTGAAAGAAATGGCGGGATGTGATGTGTTTCAGCTTTAGTGGGGTCGCTAGGGGCAGGAAAACGAAATCGGGCGACTCCTGTAAAAGATCTGGGCAAGATGGGATAACGTCTTAAATGAGAACAGAGAGGAGAAACAAGTGGGAGGCCATATCAAGAGGTCTGAGTGGGATGAAGCAAGCCAAGTGCCGAACGTTTTATTTTAGCTTTGGTAACGGGGAGGCTGCCGGCCAGGGAGGGAGCCTTGGAGTTTCAGATACTCCTTTTTCACCTGTTTCCCAGTCGCAGATTCTTTTGAGGAGAATTGAAATACGCTTGAAAGCGGCTGCCATCTAACAGGATCCCTACCTCCTCTGGACTCCCTCCCACCTTTCTCTTAAGGCATTGATAGGAAAATGAGTCCTCCGAGCACTGGCTTTACCCACCCAGAGGTTACTCAGAGTCATGGTTAACCAGCAGTAGGGAGTGCCAGGACTGAGTAACCACAGTGGAATGTGGCCTGTGGCTACTGTTTACTGCCCTAGGTCACTTAAATTGACAACTCCCTACCAGACTCCACAGTGTCACCCTTGGCTGTAGGGAGACAGTGGCTTTCCTGTGTTTTGAGTCAGCGAGGTGGCAGGGCAGCCTGAGTGAGGGCGCTTGTTTGAAACATGCCGTCTCCTATCCCAGAGGAACCACTGCTGCTGGCTGAACTGAAGCCCGGACGCCCCCACCAGTTTGATTGGAAGTCAAGCTGTGAAACCTGGAGCGTGGCCTTCTCCCCAGATGGCGCCTGGTTTGCTTGGTCTCAAGGACACTGCATTGTCAAGCTGATCCCCTGGCCGTTGGAGGAACAGTTGTAAGTACTCCGGCACCCAAAGGAGCGAGGGAGTCCTCACGGTGGGGACGTGAGCCCTTTCCCAAATTACCATATTTTGCCGTGTAGAATGCCTACTGTTTTGCCCAAATTTGTGAGGGAAAAATAAGGATGCGCGTTATACATCTATTTCTGTATCTATGTAAATGTTTTTAATGCTTTTATTTAAGCTTACGAGTTAAAAGTGTAACTCTAGAAATCAATAACGCTATCTGTATGCAAAATAATACCCTGGAATACGATCATCGGTTTTGTTGAACTTAACGATGAACTTGCCATAACTGAAGAGCTCTTAGCCTTCTATGACGCGTAAATATCATAAATTTGTTACCGGTACATAAAACTTTTTGTACCATAGTATGTAAAAAAATAAATGCTAAAATTCCTTTATAGTACAAACAACAAGTACCTAAAGGTAAACAAATAAAAATTTGAATTAAAAAATTAAAATGAAAGATTTTATTCCCTGAAAGTTTGGGCCAAAAACGTGGGTGCGCATTATACACAGGGGCACATTATACACGGGAACGTATTATACGTGGCAATGTATGGTACTCTACTCTTTTTCTTTACTTTTTTTTTTTTTAAAGAAATTTTATTAGGGAACAGTGTGTTTTTCCAGGATCCATCAGCTCAAAGTCAAGTAGTTGTTTCAATCGAGTTGTGGAGCGCGCAGTTCACTGGCCCATGTGGGGATCGAACCGGTGACCCTGTTGCTCAGAGCTTGCGCGCTTAACCAACTGAGCCACTCGGGCAGCCGCTTTAACGGGTTTATTGAGATATAATTTACACGCCACATGATTTGCCCATTTAAAGTACACAACTCAGTGCTTTTTAGTATATTCAGAGTTGCACATCTTTCACCATAATGAATCTTAGAACATTTTCATTACCCCAAAAAGAAACCCCACGTCTCTTAGCTGGCACTCTCCAAACCCCTCTGTTCCCCAGCTCTGAGCAGCCATTAATCTACTTTCTGTTATTTTATATTTGCCTTTTTCTGGACATTTCAAAGTCATCAAATCATATGTATTCTCTTTGACTGGCTTTGTTCACCTAACAGAATGTTTTCACAGTTATCCATGTTGATGCATGTATCAGTACTTTATTTCCTTTTATTGCCAAATATTTCATTATATGGAAATATCACGTTTTGTTTATACATGTATCAGTTGGTAGACATTTGAGTTGTTTTCAACTTTGGCTATTATGATTAATGCTGCTGTGAACACTTATGTACACGTTTTTTGTGGACGTATGATTTCATATGTTTTCTATGTTTAACTGAGGAACTATCAGACTTTTCCAAAGTGGCTGGACCATTTTACAATCCTACCAGCAATGTGTGAGTTTTCCAAATTCCCCACATCCTCACCAACATTTGCTATTGTCTGTCTTTTTTTTTTAAAGCATGTGTTTTTCAATTTAATTTTATTGGTGAACTGTGTTTTTTCAGGACCCATCAGCTCCAAATCAAGTTGTTGTTTTCAATCTAGTTGTGGAGGACGCATCTCCTTGGCCCATGTGGGGATCGAAATGACAACCTTGGTGGTATGAGCCTGCGCTCTAACCACCCGAGCTAACCGACCGCCCCTCCTTGCCCATTTTTAAATTGGGTATTTGTCTTTTTATTATCTACCACATTTAGTTTCTGATACTAATTTTTCTCTCTTTGGGCTGGGCAGGTCCCAGTGTCTGAAAGCTGTGAACCTCCATTCAGATGGCCCAGCGTCTGCATTTTTTCATTTGTCCCAGGGCAACTCTTTGTCTTCGTTTATTTATTCAACCAACATTTGTTGCAAATCTTTGCCTGAAGCTGACCGAACTAAGGGCTGAGAATCCTGAAATAAATCAAACATGGCCCCTGCCGTGGATGGGGCTCATTTGTTTTGCTTTAGGCATTTCTTATAAATGGCATATTAGATTTCAGTTTGTTTATAAGTTTAGTATGAAACTTGTTGCCTTGATGATAGATAATACTCATGAGAGTTCGCTGAGATGGGTCCTCTGTATACTGCTGGGGTCAGGGGGTATAAATTTGTGCATTTTCTGGAAGGAAGACTGTTTGGCAATAGGCATCAAGGACCTTAAAAATGTTCTTCTGGTAATTAGGAAATCTCAGAAATGGGGTCATCTATTTACATACACTGATTTTCATCATGAAATTAATTATATATAGTAGTTAAAAATCAGAAATTGCTTCAAATCTAGTGATGAGAGAAGGGTTAAGGACATTGTGGCATTTCCGTATATTTTTGCAGCTATCTAAGATTGTTGTGTGTTTTTAATTTTTATTATTATTTTAACTTTATTGGGGAACAGCCATGGTCATTAGTTACACATGCCTTTCATGCTATAATGGCATAGTTGACTCTTTTAAGGAGGGTGCCACTCGCAGTGGCCCATGCGGGGATCGAACCGGCAACCTTAGTATTATCAGCACCACCTCTAACCAAGTGAACTAACTGGTCACCCCTGTTGTGTGTTTTTTAAATCATGATTTTTCAGTTTCTTCTATGGTCAATTTAATGATAACACCAAGGTCATTCATTGTTTATTGATCCATCTCGATCTAAATACAAGGGACTTAACTTCATATCTAGACTTAAGTCTGATATAAATTTATAGTCTGAAAAGGTTTTTATAAAGCATAAAATGGAAAATCTGTTGTTTTCCTGAAAATCACCCTAGGAGTTAAATATGTGCATTAGTATATGTAAGTATAGTCTTCCCATATTAGCTAGTATTTGCCTCATTTCCAAATTTTCTATTGTTTTCTTTATTTAGTTTTCAATTATAGTTGACGTTCTCTGTTGCTTTTATAATTTAAAATAATTGTTTTTTTAAAAAAAAGTCCTTTAAGAGGCATTTATATTCTTTTTAGGATTGTTACACATTGTTTTAAATCATGTGTACCTTTGATATTGAGCAAATAATTGATATTAACCAATACAGATCATTGTACTACTTTTAGAAATACAGTAATAGCTTGGTTTGCGAGCATAATTCGTTCCGGAAACAAACTACTCGTATTGCAAGACATCACTCGTTTACCACATTCAAATGTATTGGAAATGTTTGCTCGTCTTGCAGAACACTCGCAAACCGCGTTACTCGCAATCCAAGGTTTTACTGTAAAAGTTTTAGAAACCGTAATGTCAGTGAAGTTAAGCTCTCCCAATGAATCTCCCTTGTCCTTAATTATCCCTTCCCACGCTTTCACTCCCCCACCCCCCATTAAACTCATCCCTTGATTCATTGACCAACGCAGAAGTCCAGGGGATCTGTTGAGCCCTAGGCTAGGATACCCAGGACTTATATTCTCATTCCAGTTCTGCTCCTGATTTTGTGACCCTAGGAAAGTCAACTCTACCCCTAAAATGGAGGTGTTACTATCTCTTTCTAGAGAAATTTATAATATTAAATGAATTACTATGTAAATGTGCCTTAATTTATTTGGAATCAAGTAGCTACAGAAGTATCCCTTAATTCAAATAACAGAAATTAGGATTTGATGAAAAATGAAACACAAACTCTCCTATCAAGTTCTTCCTGTAGCCAGGCTGTTAATGCGCGTCTTCCCCGGATGGGAAACGCAGGCCCCTGTGCCAGGGCCAGGCAGGTCTGCAACGTGTGTGGATAGGCAGGCTGGGGTCCTGTGTGGGTTGGGCAGGCCCAATCAAAGAGACAGTCATCGTCACATCCAAATGTTTTGTCAGAATTACAAAATTTCAGACTATCTTCGGCCATGAAGACCAGGGGTCAGCAAGCTTTTTCTATAAAGGCCCAGAGTGTAAATATTTTCGCCTCTGCAGGCCATCTAGTCTCTGTTGAGATTTAACTCTGCTGTTCTTCTGCATCAAAGCACCCGTAGATAATAGGTGAACAAATGAGCATAATGATATTCCGTTAAAACTTGACTTATAAAAACAGACTGCTGGCCTAAGCAGAGTTTGCCAACCTCCGATTTAGACTAAGCGTTTTAGAGCTGAAGGAGGCTATACTCTAGTTCCTCCTAATTTTATAGGTGAGCTTGGTTAAAATTTTTAAATAGATTTCAGCCACACAACTGACAAAAATGTGATTTACTTAACTTTCGGGGGGCAAATGTAATACGTGAAGAGGTGTAACTACATGTATGTGAGTATAGGCTTTCTCATGTACTGAATTCCAGCTTTATCATATCCCGATTTCCCCTAGCTCAGGGTCACAGAGAAAAGTAGGACTTCACACTTGCACTGATCAAGTGTACCACAGACAGGAAACGTTTCCAGTTTTCAGACTGAACCTCAGGCGGTCTAATGGCTCAGGCCTTTGAGATATTGTCTGCTCGGCAGAGTGGTGGAAGGGCCCCGTATCCCAGGGACTGAGTCTCCCTTAGCTTATCTGGGCCTTGTATTCACTGTAAGTAGAAAATAAAAAGAGAGGATCAAGCTGTGAGATCTTTCAGTTCAGGGCACCCCTGGGTGTTCTGTGGGTTCTTTCTCTCTGTTGGTTGGTTCCTGTGCTGGATGTACCATCAGGGAAGTAAAGGAAAAAGCCACATTAATTGATTGGAACATAGCGAGCGAAGGCAGGAATCCGCGTGTACCAGGCAAACTGTTGGCAAGAAAAGGGTTGGTTTTCCTGCGTCTTGGGAGTGAGTTCTAAGCTAGAGAAGGGGGCGCTCATCAGGCAGGAGAGCACAGGGGGTATTCAGGCTCCAAGTCCTGTCCTCATTCCACACCTACAGCATGCTTGCTTTCTTGTTAGGAAACCTGCGTGCTCATACACCAAAACTCGCGAGAACTTGCTGAGGAAGCAGATGGCTCCCAGGGGCACCTGGAATCTAGTTATCCCACAGAGCAGGTCACCCCATTTCCGGGCAATCACAAATGTCAGGAACCATGGCCGGTGAAGCCTCTGTTACACACATTCTAAAAAAACAACAAAAAGCAAAGTCCTACCAGAATTCAGCGAGAGCCCGTGTGTTTCTAGGATTTTAAAAGTCCTAGATACCCCACGAGGAAACGCTGGTTGACTTGGTGACAATTTCAGACTCATTCAGAACTCTCCCCTTCCGCCAGCATTCCTAAAGAGTTTGAAGCCAAAAGCCGAAGCAGCAAAAATGATCCAAAAGGACGAGGCAGCCCCAAGGAGAAGACGCTGGACTGTGGGCAGATTGTCTGGGGCTTGGCCTTCAGCCCGTGGCCTTCTCCGCCCAGCAGGAAGCTCTGGGCACGCCACCATCCCCAGGTGCCAGATGTCTCTTGCCTGATCCTCGCTACGGGACTCAATGATGGACAAATCAAGATTTGGGAGGTACAGACAGGTAGGTCGTTTTTGGCTGGCACAGGGTTCTGGAGGCTTGTGTTCATGTCCTGATCGGGGTCCAGAGGGGCCTCCCAGTTGGCTGAGGGGTGTAGCTGTGCCTGGCAGACCGGGTGCCACTTCTCCCACTGACTGAGTGCTCCCGCTCCCTTCCGCCCTAGGGCTCCTGCTTTTGAATCTTTCCGGCCACCAAGATGTTGTCAGAGACCTGAGCTTCACACCCAGTGGCAGTTTGATTTTGGTCTCTGCGTCTCGGGATAAGACTCTTCGCATCTGGGACCTGAATAAACATGGTATGGAGGTGACAGGACTCCCGGGCAACTCGTAAAAGACTGGATTTGTCCCGTTCCCTACCTACGTCATTTTTATCCAGAAGAGCGTTGCTCAACCTTTTTCTATTACTGTTTCCTAAGGAGCCTTTTTAGACATCTTTTTCCCAATCACCCCCTCCACCCCCACCCTTTGAAGATTTTAATACCAAAGACGTATTATATCTATTTACGTATTGAATGCGTCTTTATGCTTTGTGCTTAAAAAAGGTAGGATGATTTTGGCCCTCAAGAACCAGTTTCTGCCACTACTGATATCATTTCCATTGAAAATACATGATGTAGAATATGTTTCCTCCACCATGGCGCGATGGACATTTTGGGCTGGGTAATTCTTTGTTATGGGCTGTCCTATGCATTCTAAAATGTTGAGCCCCATCCCTGGCCTCTACCCTGTAGGTGCCAGTAGCACTCTACAGCTGTGACAACCAAAATGTCTCCAGGCATTGCCCCATGTCCATGGGGAGGGCAGAGTCTCCCTGGGTTGAGGAGAACTGAACTAAAAGAAGTCATCCATGTTGGGTACTTCCTGTTAGAGATAAAGTTTCTTTGTGAAGTAGACTGTAGGTCAGAAGAATTCTCCCAGGTTAGCGGGGGTCAGCTTTTATGGAATTCTGCCTTGAGCAGAATTATGTATAGGAGCGGCCCAATAAAGAATTCCACATAACCTCTGGTGACAGAGAGACAGGGAATTCATTGCCAGGCCGTTTCTCCCCCATGTGGGCTGCGCTGCAGACGCCAGAGGGAAGGTGGAAGGAGGAAGTGGTGATGCGGACAGTTCATGAAGAGGCAAACTGGCCCCTGATAATGCACAGGCGCCGGTACTCTTGCCTGAGCTACGACTTGTCCCCCAATTACGACAGGGGACCTGTCTCTCGCCCTCTTAGAAACGAGCCTGATAATTTATCAAGACAACTAAGGAGGTGCTTGGATTGTCCTCATCTGAAGGCATCTAATCACTAAGAAAACTCGAAGTGGTTTCTACCCGTTACTATGGAACTTGTAATCACATAGCCTCAGATAGGTCTGCTGACTGGGAAGGCAGTGCCATTTTTAATGTGTGTCCAGTGGCAGCTTGCCACCATCTAAGGAAGGTCCCTGAGGTGGCTTTGAAAATCACTTGGTGGTTGGGAAGGGAGGACTAACTGAGAGCACCTGAGAGGGGGCAGAGTGGACTAGGTCAGTTATTATGGCTTTTTAAGGAGAAGAGAGTCATAAAGTAATGTTCCCAGGCTCTAGGCCCTGCCCTGCACTACTTGCCTCAATTTATTCAACACTCACAACTACCTCAGGGGGCAGGTTCTGTTCTTATTTGACAGCTGAAGAAACCATGACTTACTTAAAGCAAAAAAGTTTAACACCAACTTTTTTTTTTTTTTTTTAACCAGCTGAGTCATCCTGTCACCTGTTGGCAGCTCAGCGGCAGCTCAGCTCAGGCGCGGCGTCACTGGCCCATGTGGGAATCGAACCGGTGGCCCTGTTGCTCAGAGCTCACGCTCTTAAGCTAACTCTTAACCAATTGGGCCATTCGGCCAGCCGGAAAAAAAAAATTTTTATATATACCCATGCATATCCATATATTTATAAATGCATATAAATGACCATATAAACTTTTTTTTCCATTTCCTTTTTTTTGGGGGGGGAGGATTGCTTTCCATAATTCCCCTATAATTTTAAAACCCATACTAAGAGTCTTCCATATTTCTTTCCATATTTTGCTCTATGCTTGTATAATCCTATTGAAACACTCACACTCTTCCATTTATGTGTTGTGGGGTCATTGTTCTACAGAAATGGAATCATTTACATTTTTTTCTGAATCTTTTCTCATTAAACAGTACTCCGTGGAAAATCTCCATCCTTAATTTCATCTGAATTAACAGGGTGGATACACCACCTTTTATTCACTCATTTCCCTATGGAGGGGCATTTCATTTTTTCCAAAATCTGAGACCTGGAGAAGTTACATGAGTGACCTAGGGTTATGCTCCAAGTAAAGAGTGGAGCCAGGGTTCAAACCCAGGTTTGCCTGCCTCCGGAGCCTGTGGCCCTACTTGCTCTGCACCAGTGCCCGTCCAGACACCCTGGGGATGAGAGGAGGGAGCAGGGTGGTGAGAGTGCAGTGTGGGATTCTTTTTTTTTTTTTTTAAGAAATTTTATTGGGGAACTGTTTTTCTAGGCCCCATCAGCTCTAAATCAAGTAGCTGTCTTCGGTCTAGTTATTGGAGGGCTCAGCTCCGCAGCCCATGTGGGAATCGAACCGGCAACCTTGGTGTTATGAGCACGGTGCTCTAACCCCCTGAGCCACCCGGTCGCTCCTAGAGTGGGATTCTTATGACGAGGGGGAAACCATTACAGAGAGAATTGAAGAGACACACTCGCTCAAATTTAGAACAGTGCTTCAAAGTACTTGAGGTAGTTGAGGGACCTGGAAAGAATGTTCCCTGCTATCAAAGGGAGGGATCGATCAAACCTGATCTGTGTACACTCTCTTTATCCCCATGATCTTGTGGACTTCGGTGACACAGTAGGTAGCAATTTCCCTTGGGCATTAGACTATTATATGAATAGATTTCAGGCATTTTAAATGACAAATTCTGTCATATTTATTTCTCGACATTAAAAAGTGGGTGTTGGGACTCAGTTGGTAGAGAACTGGATGGATATACCGGGTGGGTGGGCCATCACTACAGTTCTTTGTCGTTTTGAGTCAGCTCACCGTTTGCTCCTTTTCTCTGCCAGGTAAACAGATTCAGGTGTTATCGGGCCATCTTCAGTGGGTGTACTGCTGCTCCATCTCCCCAGACTGCAGCATGCTGTGCTCTGCAGCTGGAGAGAAGTCAGTAAGTGTCACACATTGGGTGCCATTTCCTCTATTGCTGTAGTTCAGCAAGACACGGAGGTCTCAACTGGCCTCATGTGTGAGCCGGTAAAGAAGCCAAGCGTCCTTAAAACCCACCTGCAAATCAGCCCCAGCTGAAGGCATGCTGGTGGGCGTGGCCTCCTATTGAACACCTCCCGTTTGATTGGCACTTTGACGTGAACCAAAAGAATAGGTGTTTAAGTAGATCGCTGCCATCCCATCCTCAGTGGGCTGTGTGACTTTACAAATGGTAAAGGGGTGCTTTTTAAATTTCTTTTCCCCTTGGAGTCGAAGATTTAAAAAGTTGCAACCTACATATGGATCCAAATTTCCTTTGAACCATCTAATCTGAATCTACCTAATTAGGATTTTCATTTCAAATCATGTAATGTACAGTTACTTGTTGAACTTTGTCCTGAAATCCTGTCTGTTCTTTTTTAAAAAGTATTAGAAACCCAAGCACAATTTGGAACAGTTTATTTGAATTTTGTATCTGCATGGAACTGTTTGCTGTGACTGACTTGGGAAAGTTAAGAATTCACTATTTGGTACAGCCTACATGGTTAATCATTGACTTGAGGTTTGGAACTATGTGAAAGTGAGAGTTTTCTTAAAAAAAAAAAGAAAACCCTATTATACTTTTAACGATTCTCAAAAAGGTTTGAAGTGATGAGCTGTGGCAGACATACTGTCACGAGGCAGAGTTCCATGGTCCTGTGAATTCGTTGGGGTGTAAAATGGCATGGCAAGGTGCCTCCACATGTTGTTAGCTCTGAAGTTCACTTCTGACCCCTATATTTGGTTTTAAGTGAAAGGACAAGATAGCCCTTTGCTTAGGTCTTCATCAGCACGTACTGCTTGTTTTGCATACGGGGCTCAGAAGCAGAACTCAGATGCCTTTACTGATACGTGTGTGCTGGCAGTCTTCCTGAGTTTGGCCCCATTTATTCCTTCTTACGGTGAGTTCTCGAGCATGTCCAGGGGTCGGCAAACGTTTGAGACGGAAGAGCCGCCCAGGGGTCAGCAAACTGCGGCTCGCGAGCATGTGGTTCTGAAGTAAAATTGAAAATGAAACTAAAACTATCATAGTTTCAATTACAAAATTTTTAAAGGATATCATTCACATAACGGTGATTATGTAAAAATATATTTATGGCTCTTGAATAATTTTTAAATTGTTGTGAGGGACAGGATTGGCTCTTCCAGGGGTCGGCAAACTTTTGAGACGGAACGTACCCGATGAGCTGCATATGGCTCATGAGCCGCGGTTTGCTGACTCCTGGTCATGTCCATCGGTTAGGCACCCCCAAAATTCAGACCTGTTACTTTATTGAAGCCTCTCTATGATAGTTCTGGGAGAGCTGTAGAAAAAGGGAGTGGAGAGCGTGGCTTCACCTGGCCACGGGGCCTGAAGACGACATTGCTGTGCCTTTCACTCACTGTTCACGCTCTAAGCACTTGGCTTCCGCCCCTAACCAGGCACCTATTCCTTTCCACAGGTCTTTCTATGGAGCATGCGGTCCTACACATTAATCCGGAAGCTAGAGGGCCACCAAAGCAGTGTTGTCTCTTGTGATTTCTCTCCGGACTCTGCCTTGCTTGTCACGGCTTCTTACGATACCGACGTGATCATGTGGGACCCCTACACTGGCGAGAGGCTGAGGTCACTCCAGTAAGGACTGAATCCCTGCTTATGACTTCCGTGTGGGGTGACTAATGAGAAAGCTGCCTTGGATTAGACACGGCCCTTTTGGAGTCTGGGGCACGGGAGGGAGCAACCTGGGTGAAAGACACCGTGGGTTCAATGCTTATTCTGAGGCTGGTGTGCAGGACTGTTTCCTTGTCAATTAAGTTCTCAAGTTAGAACCAAGTGCCTTGCAATCTCCTGATTTAGGAGGCTGTCTGTACTTCTTTGGATTCAGCATTAAGAAACCTCAAAGTGACTCTTTCTTTCCATTTACTAATAACTGTAGTAACAAGTTCAGAATGATCCTCTTATCGAAACTGTTATTTCCAGAATGAATTTTCATGTTCTCTCAAACCTGGTCTACTTTTTCCCCTTCTATCTCTTGTTGTTTTATGAAGCAAAGACTAGGCAGTCCTATAATTATCGTGTATCTCAGCCTAAAAAAGACTTTCAGTTTGCACTGTGGCATGAAAGTGAGGATTGACCTACTTTGCATAAAGAAACTAGTACAGGGAGTGTTGGTAACCCTTCAGCCCCCTTCACAAGACACTGAGAACCTTAGGAAAGCACTTTTTCCCAATCTCCTTTTCTAGTCTGCAAATCCCAAGCTTTTCCATCGGGAGTACAAGATGCGATTTGAACTGTTTGGTTTTTTTTTAGGTGTTACCTTCTGTTTTTCTTTGTTTGTTTGTTTTTTTGCGGGGGGTGGAATTGAGGAAGGGGAACAGTGTTGGGGACTTGGGAAGGGGACCAGCCAAGTTGTCCTTCAATCTTAGTTGTGGAGGGCGCAGCTAGCTCAGCTCCAGGTCCAGTTGCCATCCGGCCACCCATCGGCATCTCAAGGCTGCTCAGCTCAAGGTGCCGTGTTCAATCTTAGTTGCGGGTGGGTGTAGCCCACCATCCCCTGCGGGAGTCAAACCGGCAGCCTTTTTGTTAGGAGCACATGCTCTCAGCAGCTGAGCCAGCCTGCCGCCTGTTGGCAGCTCAGCGGCAGCTCAACTTGGGCACAGCTCACTGGCCCATGTGGGAATCGAACCAGTGACCCTGTTGCTCAGAGCGCGTGCTCTTAACCAACTGAGCCACTTGGCTGGCCCAATTTCAGCCTTTTCATAGTCAGGGCATTTTGGCCTCCTGCCTGGGGATGAAAATAAAGGATGGAGGGAAGCCATCCCTCCAGGCTTCCTGTCCTGTTTCTTTCTCCTCAGCCACACCCAGCTTGACCCCCCCATGGACGACAGCGATGTCCACATTAGCTCCCTGAGATCTGTGTGCTTCTCTCCGGAAGGCTTGTACCTTGCCACCGTGGCGGATGACAGGTAACAAAAGAAATCTCTGTGCAGCCTCAGAGCAGGTGTTTGCAAGTAATCGCAGCATTACCGATGGGCCTGGCCCCAGGTCTGCTCACGTTAACCTCCTTTTCTCTTTTGTACAGACTCCTCAGGATCTGGGCCCTGGAACTGAAAACTCCAATCGCATTTGCTCCTATGACCAATGGTCTTTGCTGCACATTTTTTCCACATGGTGGAGTTATTGCCACAGGGTATGTATCTGTGAGCTGAACAGATGGGCAACAATATCTGCTGAGTATACCATGTAGCTTTGTAAGGAAAGCAAGCATCTAGAATTTTCTTGCCTGTGAGGAAGGCTTTAAGGAAATCCAAGATTACATAAAATTCTAATATTCTGCCACTATAGGTTATCATTTACTCTTTTAATATTTAATCTAATGGTAATTAAAGAGTTACAATTCATGACAACCAAGGAAGCCTAAGTTAAGATGATGCAGAATTTATATGGGAAACCATCTAGGGCAAAGACCACCTTACCATCTCTAGGACAGGGACCATCTATAATTCAGCAGGTGGCACTCTTCCCTCTGTTACATTTGCACTCATAGTATGATTTAGAAAGAGCTGTGCTGACAGAGATAGCACTTTGGTATCAAAGGTGTCTGGAGTTCTTATAATGCTCTCAGCAGCCTTAATTATTCAGCACCACGGCTTTTACATCCATTTCATCAGCCAGGGTTACATTTCACTCTGCCGCCTCCTGCTAGTGCAAGTCAGAGTAGAAACATTAATATCCATCCCAATGCAAACCTATTTCCTAGGTCCGTCTGAACGCATTGCTTTCTGTTTTGTTTCAGGACGAGGGATGGTCATGTCCAGTTCTGGACAGCTCCTAGGGTCCTATCATCACTGAAGCACTTATGCCGGAAAGCCCTTCGAAGTTTTCTAACAACCTACCAAGTGCTAGCACTGCCAATCCCCAAGAAAATGAAAGAGTTCCTCACGTACAGGACTTTTTAAGCAATGCTACAGTCTTGTTTTCTTTGTAGCAGGAGAAACCTCCCTGGCAAAGAAGTAGCTGGGATAATGGGCCAAACATCTTGGTCTTCGATTGAAATATGAATAGAATTTCTCTTTGAGACTGTGAATAGAATGTAGCAAAATCAGATTCCAGTGGACAAGTCATGATCTTCTCCCTCCTGACATGGGCAAGTCAGTCAGAGAGGAGGGGGTTCCACTTCTGTGGCCACAGAGCCTTACCTTAAATCTTCAGTCCACGTATACACAATTTTGAATTCTTTCTGGTAGTTTTGATTCAAAGTGCAGTTACTGATGTTTCGATGAGTAACTAGGCCTTGAGCCTTTCTGGAGTGGCAGGCGGGTTTCAACTCCCCCCTGCTGGGAAGTGTGACCTCTGCCTAGTACTGATCATGTTGTGTTTCAGATACAGTGGTGGGTGGCGTTGTTTCAAGTGCTCTCCTGTTGTGTCAGAGTTGCTTTGATGTTGGCAAGTCTTTCCTTCCCCTAGCCCCCCTCTGACCAGCAGGACCAAGTTTTCATGGAGCTGTCTCTGGGAGGAGGTATTAACTTAGCTTAACTCATCACAGGTGACTCAGAGGCTGTGCTCCTGACTGATAGACACTATATAATTGGCTTTTTTTTTTTTTAAACAATGGTGTGCATGTGAAGATGACAAATTCCTCTGTCAGGTTACACAAGGATTTATTCCTAAATTGCATGACTGTTCAAATGGCTGAGTTATCAGTTGTTTGCCATCATTAGCATATTTATTTGTGTTTTCTCAACAGATAATAAGGTACAACTGTGTTTTTCTTGATACTAGGTTAAAAACCATAGTGCTTCAGTGGAACAGTTGTGAAGGTGTCTCCTTAATTGTTAAGCATTGGTGTTGTCATCACTTCAGCCCATATCCTATGTACGAGGTCTGAGTTTGCTGCTTCACCTCATTGGACTAATGAGCCAGTTTTAGCTCTACCCCTCAACAAATATAGCTCCTGAAACGTACTTAACTGTTCTTCTTCAGTGGTGTGTATTTCTCTAATCAAGACACCTCAAACAAAATCTGCCTTTGGAAAGTTTAATATATTTTAAATTATTTGAAAAGAAATGCAACATCTTATGCTTCGCCTTTCCTAATAGGTGCTTTGTGGAGGCCAATGTAACATAAAGCGTGTTGAAAAAGTAGGAGTCTCCTCTGCCGCCTTTGTTGCTGAAGAAAAACATTTCTGTTCGAGACGGGAGGCTTTCATTGAAAGGAAAAAGTTAAAAGCTTTTGGCACTCCATTTTTTCCATTAAGAAAAATAATCACCTTTAAAACGTACAACAGGACAACTGGGAATGGATTGGGCAAATTTTTAATTTTGTGGTTATCTTGAAAAATCACAGTGTAGTCCGGGAGGCCCCAATTAGCCATTAGCTACAAACCTCACTGGTGTCCTTGGGGAGTGAGTCCTACGTGAATGATGGCATGAAGCAAGTTCTCTCTTCCGGTGGTATAAGAATGGACATCTTTATAAAGAACAGCCTCCAGAGTTGATTCCATGCTATCAGAGGTGGAAAAGGTTCATTTAGATGCAAGTTGGATAAGTCAGTGTCTTTATAACTGGGTAGGGAAAGGAGAGTCACTTGTTAACACAACCAACAACAAAGCTGCTTTATTTTTATTACGAAGAACGATATAATGGCAGCATTAACTGCTGTAAAATAAACTCACATTTGCATACAGGTCCTAAGCCTTTCGACAGTGGCAGGCTTACAGCGAGGGTTCCTCTTATGTACCCCCCTCCCTGCATTAAATGAATGTTGTACAACCTCTGACCCTTAATGGCATCATTTAAAGTGAAATTTTTTCTGCTGTCCACACCGCAATTAGGAATCTGTTAGTAACTCCTCTACTTTGAGAGAAGAAATAAAAAGCCCAGTTTTTAAGAGAATTGGGTCCATTTTATGCGTGGAATAGTTTTGGCCAGAAACCCATTAACACCTACTGTAAAAGGCGATATAGCAACAGTGCCACCGATTATATTTATACTTGATTTTGGTGATGTTCGTTTTAATCTTGAGTTGGAAGACACATGGACCATGTTAGAGCTGAAAGCCTTACATTCTGAAACAAAATAGGGCAGGCCAATTTCCTGCCATCCAAGCAACTAAAGGGTAAAAACCTGAAATAAAGGTTTTTTGCTCCTCCCATAAAATAAAAGTGGGCAGTGCCATGAGACAGCTGTACCTTAAAATTGTTTTGTACATCTCTGCTCCAAACAGCCACAAACAAGGTACTTTGTATTCGTCTGCCTACCACCCATGCCTGGAATAGTTTTCCAAGACTTGGGGTGACTGTGGTGTCATCCAGTGGCCCCAGGCAGCAGTTCATTGCATAACGGAGAGCCTGAGAACTGCAGCGAAAGGTGCTCGGTATCTAGGCCTCTGTGACAATCAGGTCTCTGGTGACTTGAAAAGCAGCGATGAGGGAGCTCAGCTGAATCTTCTCACTGGTGCCAACTGACAGTCTGTATCTAAAAGGAACCGAACAAAAGGTAAGACTAGAGTATCACAGACGTCTCCCCTTGGCAAGACAACAAAAGAGATCAAAGACGGAAAACCTGCTGAAAGAGGATAGGTGATTATAAAAATGTATCCTGGGCCAGCCGAGTGGCTTAGTTGGTTAAGAGCTCGCTCAAGAGTGTGAGCTCTGAGCAAAGCGGTTCGAGTCCCGCCCGAGCTGAGCTGCCAACAGGTGGCAGGAAGGCTCAGCTAAAAAAACAAAAAACAAAACAAAAAAAGTATCCTGGATATCAATCTTGAATGTGTCTCCCTAACATTTGCTTCTCTGCCATAAACACTCATATATTTGATTCAAACTGGTGAGGAAAAATTAAGTTTAAAAAATTGTTATCAATTGCATTATTCTGAACTTAACTTTGTCCTAGCTGTATACAGATATGCAGAATTTATATAATTAAGGATTATTTCTTCACTCACAAAATACCTGGAGAGGAACTATCATTAAGATTTCCTTCCTCGTAATTCAGTGGGAAGAGTGGTTGTGATGTAAAGCAGGACACTGGCGCTTCATGTTGTCACCTTTTAAGTGACAGCCATTGAAAGCAAAATCAATATTCACAAAGCAGTGCTAAGAAGTCATGTAATTTGTACATCTGAAAGCCAATGATGGCAAATTGGAGTTGGCCTATGTTGCCGGCTTGTTTTGAACCCAGTGCTTTAGTCTGCTTAACTGACAGCTGCCATCTTCACTAGGTGCTAATAACGTCACTAAACCAGGCAAAGGGGAAAATTGCGTTTGTTTACTTTTCCCCCCAATATGGTTTAGTATGCCCAAATGCCTTAACGCTGGTTACCGTCAAAACTAGATCTGAACTGCAGCAGGCCTCTGGAATAACAAGAGCATTTCCAGAACCAACGTGAACCAAGCCTTTGAAGTCTTTATCTCAAATATGTAACTGAGCTGCACCTGTCCTTGTGTTTATTCATGTTCTTTAAATAAGCAACTCACACCCTTCCCTACGGTTCATTCAATAATCCCACCCAAAACTAGGTTGTGCCATGTAGGAAGGATGTAGACCAAAAAGTTGAAACCAAGAAAGGAGACACAAAAAACCCACCAAGGGAAAATGGAGGAAAAGAATTAAAATTGGGAAATACTCACTCAATGTCTGCCATTTTAGTCAATAAATGTATTCGCACTGAAGACGGAAAGTCAACTGGGGGAAAAGCAAAAGCAAATGAGTGAGGTCTGTGATTCCCTCCTATTTAAAAACAAGCCCCAGAAGACACGTGTAACACATCGGATGGGCAACACTAAGCTTTTCTTGAGGCCTCGGATCCCTAAGGAGGTAACAATTGTACAGAATTTCAGGTTTTTATCCACCCCGTTTTGTGAGTCTTCAGAGTGAAACCAAAGACAAAATTAGCAGATTCCAGAATGATCATAACATGGAAGGGTCATCAACACTGCTCTTAGAAACTGGGTAGCTAGCTCTGTAATTGAAAAGCTGAGTTCTTGCTTGCTGTCCCAATTTTTAAAACAAACATAAACTACTGATTTTTAAGTCAGCTTATGCTCAGCTTCCACGATCAAGTGCAGAGCTGGGCTTGAGCCAACCACATTCTTGGGCAGAGTTAACATGCCAGCAAGCCAGCTACGAAACGGCCTGTAAAGGCATCAGTAGAACCGACATTCATGGACCCAATTGTCTGCGCAGGTGGCTGTTGGGGAGGAAAGCGCTCCAACAGGCTGCACAACAAACCACCTGGAGAGTTTGAGAAAATACGGATGCCCGGCTCCCCTGCAACAGGCCAACCAAATTGGTCTTGGGTGGTCGGGGGGTGATTCCCTAGGTGCTGGTCAGGTTGAGAACCAATTCTCTGTATAGACGATAGAGCCAAGTGTGGCACTTACGATGGTTTAGTTACGACAGCTTTGGTTTACATGAAGCTACATCTCCCTCTCTCCTTTTGGGGAAAAGATTCTTTTAGAAAGGTGATTAAAACATACGACTTGAGCTGTAAAATACAATCCCCTGGAGGAAATCAAGGTCGCCTTCAGAAGTTTCCACTCTCTTCCCGGTAATCCTTGAGGTTCAAAGAGTACTTTTGGAACAAAGTTTTAAATAATAACGAGGGGTCAGGTATGTATATATATGTTTTTTTGGGGTTTTTTTTGTTGTTATAGCTGAGCCATCCTGCCACCTGTTAGCAGCTCAGCTCGGGCAGGGACTCGAACCCCTGTTGCTCAGAGCTTGCACTCTTGAATGAGCTCTTAACCAACTGAGCCACTCTGCCGGCCCAGGTTTATACTTTTTCATTCCCGTTTCTTTGCTTCAACAATGAAGCCTCGTATTTCCTCTCTAACCACCCTCAGCCACAAAGCATGCCACCTCCACAGCTGCTAAACCAGGGAATAATGCAAGTTACCTCTATGCACAAACAAGTGTATCTCTGTCAGGATATCATGGAGCGCCAGCCCCTTCAGAGTCTTCAACTCCATAATATCTAGAGGAGCAGTTAAGGCAAAGGGAACAATTGCAGAACAAATCCGCTGCAGGGAATTCGGAATCCAAACCCTGGTGAGGGACTTTCAAAAGCAGGGCTTTTAATTCCAACACAGTTGTCTCTTTCATTCTGAAACTGCACATGTTGAACCCCAATTCTTACATTTTCATCTTCAATAAGGGCTTTCTAAAAGATACAGTTGTATCTCTGTCAACAGAGCCAAACACGTTCCTTTCACATGTCCCAAATGGCTTTGTATCACTACACCTAGCTTTTAATTTCACAAAACAAGAGTAACACAGACCACTTGAAAAAGAGTGTATCTTCCATCCCAAGGTCTAACTGTGTCTTCCAATGGTGAGTGAAGTGGCTTCAAGCTGTACCCAGGCCAGAACCCCTCAGGAAGAACTCTGAGGCACTGAAGACCCACTCCACCCACCACCATCTTGCTCCCACAACAAGCTGCCCAGAGTTGCAGCCAACTGTCTTTTGCCGGTAGGGTGTAGGTGCTGACTGCAGCCTGGGCTTCTGGGGCCAAGTTCAGGCCTCGGGCATGTCATGTGCCATCGGCAGGACACAAGAAAGGATACTTGTGTAGGCGGTGGTGAAGTCTTGATTCAACATCCAGTCCAGGATGTTGGCGATGTCTGACTTAAGCGGGTGCCCTGTGCAGGTGTAGACAGTCTCCTCTGTCACCTTCCCAAAGGCCATATTGGTGCTCTGTGCAGACAGGGAGAGAATCACGGTGGCTATCACAGCAGCCGCCAAGTTTGCAAGCAGGTCAGGAGGAAACTGCTGAGGCAGCAATGTTAACAAGGGCACAGAACTCAAACCCTGTTTTGACACTGGTAAGAGCTGGCCTCAACAGAGGATGCCGCTGCCTGGTGGCTGTATTACGGTTGCAGAATCCTTTCCTAGCGTTCCCTCGTTTGCAACAAACTATTTCAATTGATCAAAATATAAAGGTGGTGGGGAGATCACTGGCACGTGAGATAAGAAGTCTGACCAGTTCCAGATTTCTAAATGGACAGATTGGTTGTGCTGTTGCTTTTGTCTTTCTGGAAAAACTATTCCGTAGCAACGACCTGAGATGTGCCAAGAGTAGCGTCATACCTGCAAAATGTTTAGAGCTCTTCGCATATCTCCACTGGAAAGAGTTACAAGTGCTTTCATCCCGTCTTCACTTATATCAACCCTGAAAGGAAATAGGCAAAAGGGACTGAGACGCCCCTGAGAGCACATGCATTCACCAAGAGAACAAGATAGCCTGGAAAGTTTTGAAACAATGAGGAAAAAAAAGGGAAGGACGGAGTTAACCATAATTTCCTGATCTACAGGATCAAGAATTGACTCTGTTTTTTAGGGATGACGGTTTCACATTAGTCGTCGCAGTGTACTCAAGGTCTAGAAAGACCCTTACACAAGACCAGGCCTTGCTGTGTAGAACAACTGGCTTTGAACTATGTGCTCTGGAGAGAGCATTAGTGAGATGTGTGATCAGAGCCAAAGCACCTCCTTTCAAATAAGCAGCAGCTCAAGTTGGCTCCTTGCTTGGCGTCTGATTCCACAGAATGGAATACCTCAGTACCTTCCCTTCTAGTCAAAAAAGACTGGAGGCATCTTAGCAGAAGGGAACTGGCAGCATGCACTTTCCAATGACAAAAGAACAGGAGGAGGAAACTGGGACAGCTTCCAGGGGAGGAGAATGGAAACAAGGGAAGAGCCGAATGACTTGTATGAAGAATGTCTGTGACGGGAGAAAATGACAGCAGCAGGCAGACCCTGCACTAGGCACTCTGCTAAGTCGTTTACAAACATCACCTTGGCATGTAAACCAGCCAGCCACCCCAGAGCCACTGCACTCAGTCCCCAAGGCCCTCACCTTTCCTGCTTTTCAACACACTTACTTTTCTTCTCTTACGACGTGTTCCAGGCGTGGAACCATGAGCTCAGGGGTCAGGGGACCGAATCGGAACCTTGTGCATCGGGACTGCAGGGCGGGGATGATCTTGGACAGGTAGTTACAGATGAGGCAAAATCGGGTGTTTTCAGTAAATTTCTCAATCACTGGCAAGGGAAGAGAAAGCCGCCTCATATCCATGCTGATGCTTCAAAGGACCCAGAAGTCCTAGACATTGTTCTATGGTCACATGAAGGGGACAGGAAACAGGCATGCAACAAGAATTCAAGCTCACAGACATGTGGGGATGCGACTGTAATGAGAGGGGTCCACTGAAGGGGGGTTAGGACTCAAACCAGCCACTCTCCAAAAGATGACAACCGTGTCACCCCAGGATTTTATAAAACGCTTCCTTTTTTTACGATTCGCCATGATTCTGACGCTCTGGCCGTCCCATTCCATTCAGGCATGCAATCCAGCATTCCTGCCCTTTTGCCTAAAATTCTATTTGGCAGGTTGATGCTGCTCCACTTTTCACATAGGTGGGGAGGGGTAGCTTTCTGCAGACTTTCCAGTGGCCCTTGCCTCAAAGCCTTAGAGCACTGGAGTCAGCAGCAACCCGCAATCAGACACGCTTATGATACGGGTTTCATTTGGTAAGCACCCAGTGTTTCTGCACAGGGATCTGCCCAGACCGACAGACAGCCTTCAGAACAAGATGCCAAAGAAAGGCTGCCAAAGCTTGGAGGACCAGAAGATATTCTGTCCTCCTCCTCCTCTTCTTGAACACTGGCGACGAGCCACTCCTTCCTACCCAGATCTCCTAAAGATCACCCTTCTCTCCTAGCAGATTACCTCAGACTCTTAATGAGAGACATGATGTCCGTCCTTTTCAGAAATGAACTGCCCCAGGCCCCTTAAGACGGGCATATCACAGGATACTCTCCCGTCCCTGCCAAATCACTCCCTTGGAAAGCAGTGAGGTAATGTCAGCTTTCTGAGCATCACTAAATTTCCAGTATTACTTTCCTGGCTATTTTGTATCGAAGGGCACCAACAGCAGAAGGATCGATCCAAGCAGTTTAGGAATGAAAAGACTTTCCATCAAACGATACAACTTCCCAACCCTGAAATGGAACCCAGCTGAAAAGGAGGATGAAACATCAGTGTCTGGTCATCCTCAGAAGTCCCAACAAGGCTTATGCCTTCCAGCTGCTCAAAGGGGAAACCCCCAATAGGGAGAGATTTTGTCTAGATCATCAGGTGGGACACACGGGGAAAGGTACAGAGAGATTTCTCTGGGCCGGAAGGTGAAGGAAAATGGAACAGAAGCCATGTCGTATCTCGTGTCTCCAGTTCCAAGTTCTCCTTCTGACGCACTCATCAGCCAACACCCTGGACTTCGCGGCCCTTCTTACCTCTCCTCAAGGCATTCTGGGCGTCTTGAGTCATGGCATCAGCTTCATCCAGGATCACCAGTTTAAAGCCTTTCCTGGGAAAACAATTGGTACCATCTCAACATTTCTTGAAGCTCACTTCAACCTCCAGGCCCAAACCTCCATCGTCCCATCTGTGCCATCAGGCCCTGTTTCAGGGTCCATGTCTCTTAGACCTCGGACCAAAGCAGACATCCGTGGTCACAGAGGAAACGCCCCATCACGCCTTTAACTCTTCTTCCATACAGTATCCTATTACTCTCATGCTGCTTTTTCCACCACCTTCGCTCCTATCTTTTCATCTTTTTCTTTCTTTTTTTTTTTCTTTTACCACCATCCTAGTTATCCATCTGATCTCAATTCCTTTTTGTTTAAATAGAAACTCGCTCATTCAGGCTTAGGATGTAATCAGTCCTCAGCTGACTAATAAAATGAAGCTAGTGCTTCCCCAAAGAACTTGCTAATATAGACTTGGATAATATTTTATTTTAATATTTGCATTTTCACATTTTTTTTACAACCATCCCTGCACTTTATCTCTTTTTCATGGCTGTTTTTGTCAGGGGTTTTTAACCTTTACAAACCAGCAAAGGGGAAGATTAAAAAAATTAAGCTCATCTCACTGATCAAAATATCTAGGGAGAGAAATTATGCAAATATTTCTTACTTGAATATTGTCCTTGTGCTAGCAAAGCTCAGGATTGGTCCCCGAACGATATCTATTCCTCGGTCGTCTGAAGCATTCAGCTAAATGTGGAAGAGAGAAGCCAGAATAAATAAAAGATGTGTTGGTGTGCTATCTATGAATGAAAGTATCTTTTCATCAATCCAGCTCAGCAAGCTACTTCTCCAGATACAATGATAGCTAAGGGATAATCAATATGAAAAAAACGAGATCACAATGGTATTGAAAACTCACAACTCATGAGATCATAACATTACATTCCGAAAGGTAAACGTCTGATTTTTCTCCTCCCTTTCAAGGAAAATCACTGACCCACTCTGGAGGGATAATTAATTGGCTGGTCACCGTAAACAGCACCTCTACCATGAGCAGAATGATGCTAATTTCAGCTACCAAACTTAGAGCAACCCAGAAGTTACCAAGTTTTTAATACACTGAGGTAAGAACATTAGTGGCAGCAAGGTTCTACAATCTATAACACCAACAAGAATAAGCTAAACATTTTTTTTCTTGCAATGGACAATATTGAGAATTTTGTGATCTAAGTGTATCAGTCGAGTCCCAGCAATAAACAGATGGCATGCTCAAATTCAGTAATTTGAAGAAAATTACATGAAGAGAGATTTTTAAAGGTGTGGATGGGGTGTGGGGAAACCACGAGAGCTATGCAATACCTCAGGGACTACTGGGGCCCATTAGCACCCCCAAGTCTTATGGGGTTAACAGGTAGTGTTATGTGCCCTGCAGGTGGGGACGCTGCCAGCTTGTGGTGGCCCCCAGAGCAAGTCCAGGCATCGTTCTCCTTTCTCTGACTCCTGCCAGGGCCCCTATTGGCCAAACCGAACCTGGAGCCAGAGGGCAAGAGAGCTTGTAGTCATTCCAGCTCCATCTTCTGGGGCAAGCGCTGGGTGCAGGAATGTGGAAAAGCAATTCGAAGGGGCACATGGGACACAGCCAGCAACTGACTGACCCCTGAGTGTTTGGGTATAAAATGTCAACAGCAAAGACAATCCCTGGTCCTACAACTGCCCTCTAGTGAATGCCAATCCAGACTGAAATGCCAGTTATAGAAAAAAGCGAACTGAAATGTCTTATTTTACGTCTGCTTCTTTCCCAGCCGCCAGGGGCACAACTTACTTGTAAAGGGAAACAAAACTAGCACAACTAAGAGACCAGAGTCCTTTGTCGAGTACGAATAACCCTCCCGTTTACCTCCAAGACCATGGAGCCAAATTCTTTATCTTTGTACAGCTGTTTGGCACAGGCTAGGATGGTGGATGTCTTTCCCGTCCCCGGAGGACCATAGAGAAGCAGGTGTGGCAGTCGGTCTTCACTGATGAATTTCTGAACTGAGGATTAGGAAGAAAGAGAGAGATACCATCAGTTCCTAAGAGTCACTGTGGGCCCGTGAGTTGGGCTAAATGCACTTCAACCCTATGTGCACATCAGAGGCAGAGACAGGAATCAAAACATCTGAAGGATTTAACTCCTAACAGCAGCATTCCATGAAGCTCAATCAGATTCTTCAAGGGTATTACAAGGCAGAGACAACAGCACCAAGAAACGTGCACAGGTCCATCCACTAGGATAACGGCAATGCCACAGGGATGCTTACTGGTGTTCAAGATGTCCTGATGAGAAATGAGGTCACTCAGCGCTTGTGGCCGGTATTTTTCAACCCTGAAATACAATTCAGCATGGATTACAACACATATAAATGCAAGAACAATTTGTTAGATGCCAGAGAATTCTTTCCTATCCTTGCTCAAAGAGGATGAGTCACAAAACCCTTTACATTTGAAGATGGACCTGAAGTTCTCAACTAGGGGCGATTTTGTCCTGCATGTGGCGCTACCTGGAGACATTTTTCCATTGTCACAGTTGGGTGGAGGGTGCTACCAGCATCTAGTGGGTAGGCAACCAGGGATGTTGCTAAACAGCCTACGCTGCCCAGGATAGCCCTGCCCCTCCACCCCTTGTGACTGGCCCAAAATGTCAATCATGCTGAGGTTGATAAACTCCGCCCCACTTTCACCTTTCCAGCTGTCTGCCTGTCACTTCAACCTGGATGGGCACCTATTATTTCAATGTGAATTCAAAACTGAACTCCTACCCAAGTATACACCAACACATGAATGAATAAATGGTGGTATAGCCATAAAAAGAAATGGAATATTATTCAGCCATAAAAAGAAATGGAGTGTGATACACGCAACAACATGGAGGAACCCTGAAAACACGGTAAGTGAAAAGAAGCCAGTTACAAAAAGCCAGATATTGATTGTATTTATATGAAATATCCAGAATAGACAAATTCCAAGCAACAGAAAGCCGATTAGTGACTGCCAATGGGTATGGGATGGTTGCACAACGTTCTGAATGAACGTAATGCCTCGGAACTGGGCACTTTAAAATGGTTACAAGTGTAAAGTGTATGTTATGTGTTTTTACCATAATAAAAACAAATTGAACCCGTTATTAGACAAGAACTAGTTTTCTGAAATCAAGCCAACTTCCATCATTAGGACACAGCTGTGGAAGGAACTCAGTGCAAGCTCTGAATTTAGACCATTTAGGTTCAAATCCAAACCCATTTTCTAGCTCTGTCATTTAACTTTCTGGTTGTATTCCAACCATTTAACCTTTTGGCTGTATTCCAATTGTTAAAACTGGAAATAATAAGGAATACCAACCTCCTAGGGCCTTTGTAAAGATCAAACACCGAATACAGTGCCTGATAATCGAATAGAAAGCCATTTAAGTAAATGTTAACTAAGGAGTGTTATTATCACGCTTATTTTAGTTTAGAATTGGACCAATCGCATCGAAGATTTTGGCAACGGCGAGGAGGCCGTTTCGGCACGGTGGCCAAGGCAGCGTTAGCAGACGCGGGATCGGACCCCTGTGCGGTGACCCCGGTGCGAACGCCGTTTTTCTCTTCCGTAAGAAGAATGGGGCGGAGGGGAGCAGGGAGATCTGGCAAAAGTCATAAATAGGACGGAGGGGGACTGGGGATTTGAGGGGTGTCGAGGCGAACCTCTGTGACTCCCTCCCGGCCGCAGGTCGGGGGGGCGGCGGGGCGAGGTCCGACTGGGGCCGGGCCGCTTGCCCGCCCCGACCGCTGCCTCCCCGCGGCCGACCCCCTTCTCTGCGGCGGCCAGGCCTCCTCCTACCAGGGCAGGTTCCTGATCTTGGTCGCCGCGGGCTGCTGCTGCTGCTTGTGCGTTGAGGCTTCCATGGTGGGGTGATGAAGGTGTCCGGATCCGCGGGGGTTCGTCGCGTCCCCCAAGGAGCCTGCACGGCGAAAAGCCCCAACCTAACCCCGAGACCCCGGCTCTTAGAGTTCGCGCGCAAAAGCAACTCTCGCGAGGTTTAGCCGCTGCCTTCCGACTTCCTCTCTGGGTCCCGCCTCCTCTCTGTTGCTAAGGCGCCGGTTGCCTGGTTACCGCGAAGCGCGGGCCTCTGGCTTCCCTCCCGCTCCCCGCTTCTAGCCTGCACTGCCCTCTCTTCGGTGCCAAGAGGCTTCCTGAGCCCAGTGAGATTTGAGTGGGGGGAGAGGGGGACAGGGAGAGGTAAGGCCACCCCTGCAACCGCCAGTCATCGTTACAAATTAAAGTGTCATGGCCAAAGCCAATTTTGCCATCACCAGAGTTCAAACACTTGCCGTTCAAAGGAAGAGAAAGTTGCCAGCCCTAAAAAACAACCCCAAATGACACGCCAGTTCTTGAATACAAATGCCATATGAAAAAAGGCTTGAAAAACCTTTGGGCCCCAAAGCTGGGAGGTGAGTACTTCGAATTGAAACACAACTCCAGACAAACACAACTCTAATCTGTCTCCCAAATCCATGTCCCTCACCCACTAAAATTTAGAGAACCAAGAAACAAGTCCAGAGTGATAACAAAAAAATAAACTTCCAATTAGGTTAATACGTGTAACTGGAAAGGGCTAGTTACTAGGCATAGAAGACAAGGTCCCTGTGAACTGAAGATACCGAGAAGTGGTATCAAATGGTTAGTGTTTTTTTTCTGAGGAGAGGGGAGTATGAACTACTTTTCTTCTATGTTGCTGGTCTGTATTTCCCAGCAATGAGTGTCCATTACAACCATAATAAAGTTTTGTTTTTATTTGGTTTTTTACATGTTGAGAAAGACAATACTGGGAGGAGATGAGGCTGGCCTGGGGTCAGACTGTTCTGATTCCGAAGCAGCTGCTCCTTGCATTTTATGATATCACTGTCACCTGCTTTAGGAGCCGAGCAGAGGGACAGTGGGCAAATGCATGATGCGGTATGGCTTCGCCCTCGCGCCTGCTTGAGGATTCAGAAGATGTGGCTTGTGGTATGACAGCCTCTACCCTCCGTTTCTTCCCAGACCAACTCTAATGCTAGTTGTTCAGATCATTAGCATGCCACTGTTTCCACTTAGCTTGGGGCAGGTTGCTTCTCTTTCTCCAGTAATACCTACCCCCAAATGACCGTGAGGGTTCCATGAAAACACTTCCGTAAAGCGCCCAGCGCGTGGCCACCTTACTCTCTCCCTCCCTTCTAACATGCGCGCCGCCCATCTGTTCTTGTTTCAAATGTTTCCTCTCAAACAAAATTTTAAGGAACTGGCCTGTGTGACTATGCCTGTGAGGGTTCATTGTATGCGTCCACTTGACTGAGCTAAGGGAGTTGGTAAACCATTATTTTGGGGGTCTGTCTCTAAGGGGGTTTTCGCAAGAGATTGGCATTTGAATCGGTAGACTAAGTAAAGAGCACCTGCCCGAACGCAGGTGGGCATCATCCAACCTGCTGAGGGCCTGAATAGAACAAAAAGGCGGAGGAAGGGTGAATCTGCATTCTTTTTGAGCTGGGACACCCATCTTCTGCCCTCCGACACCTGTGCTCTTGAATCTCAGGTCTTTGGACTCAGACTGATTTACACCAGCAGCTTTCCTGGGTCTTCAGCTTGCGGATGGCAGAGTGTGGGACTTCTCGGCCTCCATTTTCACGTGAGCCAATTCCTGTGGTATATATAATATACATATGAATACATAAAATATTGAAAACATAAAATAGTTATATAACTATATTATTAATATATAACGTGTTATATGTGTTATATATTAATAATATATATTTATTATATAATGTAGAATATAGAAATACTCATATGTTTTAAAACTTACATAAATCTAAGTGTAAATATAAATTGCACACACACATTTTTCTATTGGTTCTATCTCTGTGGAGAACCATGACTAAAATGCCATAACCTGGGCTTTATTCAACCACCATAGTAAACGTCCCATCTTGTTATGGGGCCTTGCATTGGAAACGTGATGCCACCCGTTCCTTGAGCTGGTAGATGCAAACAGGACTGGACCATGTTCTCATAAAACCCTGAGTGCACCCGCTGTTCAGTTTTCTTGGAATGCAGAATTCTTCTGTGTGACATTATATTACGTATTTACAAAGCTGTCTGTGGTGTGCCTCCCCTGTGGACTGGAAGCTAATTGAGAGGATAAGCTTTGACTTACTCGCCACTGGACTCCTGATGCCAGGAACAGTGTCTGGCTCAAAGGAAGCACTCAATTAATAGTTGTTCAGTGAATGAATGAATGATAATAGCTACTATTCATTAGACAGTTACTATAGGTCAGACACTGTTCTAAATGCTTTACCTTTATTATATTCACTCAATTGTTGCGATAAGCCCAAGCTAATCTCACTGGCCCCATTTCATAGATATGGTAAGTAACTTGCCCATGTTCTGATGAGGTGTCAGGGGCAGAGCTGGATCTTCCCAAGATGCTATGATTCTATAGCCTACACTAGTGTGGTCCTGGGACCAGCAGCAGCAGCAGCCCCTGGGAACTTGTTACAAATGTTAATTATTCTTTTCCCCAACCCCAAACCTATTGAATCTGAAACTCTGGGGGTGGGCCCAGCCACCTGTGTGGCCTCCAGGGGATTCTGATGCAATCGGGTTTGAGAACCATTGCCCTACCTACTGCTTCTCAGCCCTTGAGCTGCCCATGACTTCACTTTCTAAGAAAAAGAATGTGTGCTCACATGCATATTACAGAAAAACAAATGTGTCCTATTAAGTGTCATGTGTGTGTGTGTGTGTGTGTGTGTGTGTGTGGTTTTGTTTCTTTCTGTTTTTGCTATTTGAAGGCATAGTTTTTTTGGCAAGTTATTTAGTACCTCTTTGGACCTCAGTATTAGCACCTGTAAAATGGAGAAGGGTGGGAGGTTGGACTAGAGAGAGGAATGGCATTAAAAGCACCCAAGGATTTTTAAAAATCCCAGTGCCAGAAGCTCAGACAGACAGACCAATTAAGTTGGGCCTCTGGGGGCAGGACCCAGCACTGGCATTTTAAAAAGCTTCCCAGATGATTTTAATATTCAGCCCAAGTTGAACTACTGCCCTAGGGTTGCCAATCACAGCAACCTCTAGTCCTCTGATTGGCTTACAGGGTGAGCATGTGACCCTGTGCTGGCCAATGAGATGTAAGGGGAAATGGGAGCTTGGGCTCCTCTGGGAAACTTTTCTCATTACTTTGCTGATCCTTGCATTAGAGCAGTGGGTCTCAACCTTCCTAATGCCGCGACCCCTTAATACAGTTCTTCATGTTGTGGTGACCCCCAACCATAAAATTATTTTAGTTGCTGCTCTATAACTGTAATTTTGCTACTGTTATGAATCATACTGTAAATATCTGATATGCAGGATGTATTTTCATTGTTACAAATTGAACATAATTAAAGCATAGTGATTAATGGCAAAAACAATATGTAATTATATATTGTGAAATATTTATTTCTAATTACAAATAAATGAAATTTTGTCTTGAAGCATGGAGATGGATAGAGGAGCGGTGTCTCGGTTCCTAAGACCATCGAAAATATATGTTTTCCGACGGTCTTAGGCGACCCCTGTGAAAGGGTCGTTTGACCCCCAAAGGGGTCGCAACCCACAGGTTGAGACCGCTGCATTAGAGGACCTTAAGCCTCTCTCCGGGTGCCAAAGTTCTATCACTTGAAAGAGAAAGAGAGATGAAGACCAGGGTTACAAGCTCACATGTCTGTAAGTAGCCTGGAAGTGAAGATATAAAGGAAGAGGGTTGTGTGGAAGCGATGCCTCAAGGGGGCAGAGTTTGTAGATGGAAGATTTAAGCAGAAAAGGAATTTAGCAACAAAATATTAAATAGCTCACAATGAGCAGGCAGGCTAGAGAAGCTGATTTGGAAAATGGGACAAAGACAGGCCATGGAACTGAAACCATGGTCAAAATTACTCCACGGAACCAAGCCAGCAAGGACACTTGCAGCTGCTGACCTTTGGATGCTGCTGCCCTTGTGGTCGCTAGAATCTGGATATTGCCTTCACCATTTATACTCTAAGAAAGAATTAATCAATTCTAACCTGGACTGGATTCTTCCTAAAACTAGCGCCCCATTTAAAAGCCTGCGAGACATGTCAAAATGGCCAGGCCCGGGTAGCGAGCTGTCGAGTACTTGGTGTACAGCTTGAATGGTGGGAAAGACATCTGCCTCCCGCCAAGCCTTGTGAACCGGGAACAACCCCTGAACGCAGGAGAGGGGTTCAGATGCTGGCAGCTACAGGATCACAAATGCCCACTACCCCAGTATTCGGGACAGCAACCAAATGTTGCCAGACTTGATTTTTCAAGAGAAACCAGAAATTTCGATTTTTATGTGAAATCCCTGTATGTTCAACGTTGGTATCTAATTAAAACAAACAAAAAAACCCCCTGCTAGCCAAGCAAATATACTATAGGATCACTCTGTGACTTTTGATTTCTCAGGGACAGATGTTCAGGCAAAAGACATAGTAATTCCTTTTTACCTTCTGCCTGGATGTTAGACCTTTTGCAGGATTAAGGGCAAGTCAAGCTGGTATCTCCGTATGGATTGTGACACTGATGAGCAGAGGGACAAACTTTTCTTGCATAATCAGAACCAGATTTGGAAATGCTTTAATAAAACATTGGGGCCTGGAGATGGCAGTATCAGAGGTTACAAACAAAATTACCAACGAAAGGCATTGGCTCTTGAAATTGAATTAGGGAAGGGAGCCCTGGATTTTATTACTCTCAACTTTGGGACAAACTTGGCTTTGGACACAGCACTTTACTGCCTTTGTTTATTTTTAAGACTTGTTTTTATGAGAGAATGGGATGCAAGGCTATCTTTGGAAGATGCTGGCAGAAGAAAATCAAACTGGGTCTTTTTCCTGAATATGTTTATACTGGTGAAATTATGTTTAAACGAAGAGCAAGGACTTGAAGGAGGAAAAAAAAAAAGCTCAAAGAGCAATTTGAAGAGTGTGTAGAAGGGGAAGGGCCATCTTCTTGGGTGACTTTACGGCAAAATTACTGGCTGATAAGGATTTAAA